TGTCTCTATGTCTCTCTCTGTCTGTCTGGCGAGCGCACGCGTCCTATAGTGAAAAAACCTCTCCAAAAGAAAAAGAAAAAGAAAAAAAAAATCCCTTTTCAAAATTCCTGCTCTTTATCTGTGTGTTAAGTAAGCAGAATCGTTCATGCTTTTATGGATTTCTCTGCCTGTAGCATAATGCATATTGACTGTGTTTAAGCATATCAACCCATATGTAAAACTTAACTTTTTCACTGATTTTCTGAGATAATCATTCACATCAATGATTTTCTATATATTCTTAACTATTTGTTTGAGAGAGATTTTTGCTATAGGGTTTCTATGCTTGCTGGAGAGGCACAGAGAGAGAAAGTGAGAAATCACCCTCCCTGGGTGGGCGGAAGCCACACTGCAATCCCTTCTCCATTCTCCTCTCGGGATCTTGGGCACATATGCATATGCGTCTGGAATCAGTTGCAAGCCACTGGATCTGAGATTTGAACCACAGCCAGCCATCTGGGAGTCCAGCAACTCAATCATGATGCCATCCACTGGCCCCTATTCTTAACTTTTAATATAAATAAAATTGGTCTTGATAGGGTTATTTCAAGGAACACATGAGCTATGATCACTTCCCCAGTTTTATTCATGCTCTTCTCTTCTTTCCTCTTTATTTTTTAATTTTTCTCCAAGTTTACCCTTGTCACTTTCTTCTAATCTTTAGAGCATTTTATCTTTCCCAGGTTGTTCTCCAAGACTCATGAATACATATCAGTTTCTGGAAAAAAATAGATTCTTTTTGGTTGGTTGGTTTTTTAAATTTGCCATATGGCACATATGCTTACCAGAGAGAGAGAGGGAAAGCATTATTCCCTCATGGGGGGTGGTTGTACCGCAGTCCCTTCACTTTTATTTCTCTCCCCCTTCAGGATTTTGGCCATGCACACACACACGCGCATGCACGCGTGCACACACACACACACACACACGTTTTGCAAACTCCTGGCTCCAAGACTCACATTGTGCAGTTGACCATGTCGGATCCAGCCACTGTAGCCACCACACTACCACTGGCCCTCTAATCAATTCTTAAGGCCTGGGTTTTGGATATAGTATTTTTGGTTGACAGTTTTTGTTTTCTTTTGGATATTTTAATACTTTTTTTTCTCCTGGCCTGCATTGTTTCTTCTGGGAAGTCTATTTCTGGAACTCCCATATGTGTGACATGTCACTCTCCTATTACTGCTTTTTAAATTTCTCTTTGACTTTTGGCAGTCTAATTATAATGTGCTTCAAAATTGACCTGTGTTGGTTTAATCTAGTTATTTTGAAATATATATCGAATTGTCACCAATTTTCTTTAATATGCTATAGTATTCCTTAACCACTTTCTGAACTTACTTTTTTTCTCTTCTTCTGGAACTGCCATGTTGTAAATGTTTGTGTGCTGATAGTATCCCCTATGACTGTCTTCATGGTTTTCTTTTCTATTTTTTT